GTGGATAGCGGCCGAGCTGAAAGACCACCCCCTGCCCACCCCCTGTGGTGTCGAGAAAGTGCCACGCCTGCTAGGCTTTGCGCCAGTGTCGTGGATAGCGGCCGAGCTGAGAGACCACCCCCTGCGCACCCCCTGTGGTGTCGAGAAAGTGCCACGCCTGCTAGGCTGTGCGCCAGTGTCGTGGATAGCGGCCGAGCTGAGAGACCACCCCCTGCACACCCCCTGTGGTGTCGAGAAAGTGCCACGTTTGCTCGCCTTTGCGCCAGTGTCGTGGATAGCGGCCGAGCTGAGAGACCACCCCCTGCGCACCCCCTGTGGTGTCGAGAGAGTGCCACGCCTGCTAGGCTTTGCGCCAGTGTCGTGGATAACGGCCGAGCTGGGAAACCAACCCCTGCGCACCCCCTGTGGTGTCGAGAAAGTGCCACGAGCTGTGGTGTGCTGTGCTGTGCTGAGCTGAGCTGAGCTGTGCTGTGCTGAGTTGAGCTGAGCTGAGCAGTGCTGTGACGAGGGGGGGAAGAGTGAACTCTGTGTGTTTGTGAGTGAGGGGAGGAAGAAAGAGAGAGGAGGGCAGGTGTGAGGAGACGCGGGTGCGGCGCGGCAGGGAAGAAAACCAACACCCCACTAGGAATGTTCGGAAAACGTTGCATTCTAGCTATATACGTGGTGCACCAAAAAAGAATCATGTACTACGTAGTGAAAACTACATTGCGCTCTAGTTATGCGGTTCAACCGATGCCGTATAATTTATGGGGGGGGCATCTACGTGGGGCCATCCGGGGCGCAGTCTATGCGGTGCAATATGCGGTGCCGTCCATGTTGCGCAACCGATGTGATGCAAGGGGCGCTGCGCATCATATGTGAGCTACTATCTGTTGTGTGAACCAGGCTGTGCAGTCAGCGTTGTGCAAGCAAGTTAAATGGTTCAACGTACGGCGTGCAATCTGGGTGGGGCAGTCTACGCGCTGCAACTTGATATAATCAAACATTTGTATTTTGTAGCTCCAGTGATCGCGCAATCATCCCACCCACCCGCCGGCAACTTGCTCTGAAACACCAAGCGGCGACGATTGCGACGAATGCTTGGCCCTGGCTGGTGCATCCCTGCGGCCGCGCCAAACCGCGCATGCTCGCGCGCATGGCGACCAGCTAGTTTAGCGCAGCTGACGCGACCGCGTTTGCACTGACCGCTGGGCAGTTCCCAGCACGTCTCGCAGGCCGCGCTGACGCACGGTCCCTTGTGTGCGAATCGGTGACTTGGGCAAGCGCGGTAACATGTCGACGTCGACAAGCGTAGACACGATAGCGATGATGATGACAATGATGACGGCACGGAAATTCCGGCGCCGATGCTGATCACGCCGATGGCGATGATGTTGCCCTCGCGTCAGTGGAGGTTTTGGACGGATTCCGACATGCGCAAGGACCGACGCGCGCGATAGGCCCGTGTGGTCGAGGTTGACGATCCTCCTCTAATTTTCGGACACAGAGATGGCGCTTTTCAAAATCGAGCAAGCGCGCGGGCGCAAACTTTTTTCTCGAACGCCGATGATGCAAAACCATGAGTTGTTACATCATTCGGGGCATTCGGTTTGGGAATCCGTACGACACTCAAGGATTTTGACGGGTTCCAGATGCGCGCGCGACGACGCGCGCGTGCGTATGTCGCCCCATCAGCTGCAACACATTCTTGGACACGGTTGATTGTCTCAAAGCGAGCGCGCGCGCCGAATGTTTGTGTGTTAAAGGTCGGGTGGAGATGGGGCAGAATCGTGCGTAATATGCATGCCCAAGGTGCGGGCGGATCATCCCCGGGAGGTGGGAATGGGGGGTAGATCCGATGTGGTACAATCTACGTGGTGCAACTCACCTTGTCGAACTTGAACATGTCAACTCCATTGCTCGCGCAAACATACCACCCACCCACCCGCAACTTGGTTTGCAAGACCCATTCGACGGCGACTGCGATGAGAGAGTGGCGTTGGCTGGTGCGTCTGCGCGGCCACGCTAGCCCGCGAATGCTCGCGCGCGCAGCGACCCGCTAGTGCGGCGCGACCGACGCGGCCGCGGTGTCGCTGACCGCTGGGCACTTCCAGCGGGCACTTCAGTGCGAGACGGTGACGTGGCCGGGCGCGGTATCATGGCGACGCCGACAACGGTAGACACGATTATGAGAATAGCGATCATGGTGCTGATGGCGGCGATGACGACGGCAAGGCCAATGACAGCGCCGGTTTTGCTCACGCCCACCGATAAACGAGTGCGCGCGTGTATTCCTTATTTGTAGAGGATGATGGGGGAGGGCTGATATCGGCCTGCCTGGGATAGTACGAGTTCATATTTAGGGCGGACGATGGGGCAGAATCGCACGCAATGCAAATTGCAACACCAAAAGGTGTACTGTTCATCCCGGGGGGTGGGGGTGAGGGTAGATCATAATACTCTTTTGGGAAGGCGAATATGTGTTGTATTAAGCGGAGCAATCTATGTGGTGCAATTCACTTCGGCCGTCTTGAAGCTGTCCTCTCTACTGCTCGTGCAAACATCCCACCCTCCCACCCGCAACTTGGTCACAAGACATCTTCAGACAAGACCGTGAGGGTAGGTACCACATGGCACTTGGCCACGACACCGACGCCGACGACGACAGCGACAACGACGACGACGGCGCCGCCGACACCGACTACGACGACAACGACTAGGACGACGTCGACGAAGACGACGACGCCGACGACGACGCCGACGACGACGTCGCCAACGAAGACGACGACGAGAGAGGAGGGAGGACGACGACGGCGACAACGACGACAACGACGATGGAGGAGGGAAGACGGCGACGACGCGAACCACGAAGAAGGAGGAAGAACGGCGACGCCGACGACGAAAACGACGAGGAAGCCGACGACGACGACGGCGACGAAATAGGAGGGACGACGACGAGACGCCGTCGACGGACGACGACGACGACGAGGGAGGATGACAGCGACGAGGGAGGAGTGAAGACGACGACGACGACGACGACGACGGCGACGAAATAGGAGGGACAACGACGAAACGCCGACGAAGACGACGAGGGAGGAAGGACGACCACGTCGACAACGACGACGGAAGCGACGACGACGCCAAGACGACGACGACGACGAGGAAAGACAGAAGACGACGACGGCGACGACGACGACGACGACGAGGGAGGAGGGAGGACAACGACGACGACGCAAGAGCGCGCGCGCACGCTTTTGTTGAAAATCCGTGTTGCGAAACCTTGTGATTTTATCAGTTTTTTAGACACACGAAATTGAAATCCTTCCGAAACCGGAAGTTTTGGAACGATTTCGGCATACGCGCGCGACGACGCGCGCGTCTGCACTTCCTCCCGTTTTTTGCAGAGGATTCGCGACGGCACACGCGCAAGGGCGTCCGACAGATTTCGACATGCGCGCGCGCGAAGCCCGTTTGGTAGCATGTTGTGAAAATATTGAAAAACTATGGTTTTCTTAAGGTTTCGCCAGAGCTCGCGCGTAAGCTTTTTTTAGCAAATCAGTGTTGCGAAACCTGGTGTTTTCTATGTTTTTTGGAAATTCAATTTTGAAGTCTCTCGGGAACCGAAGGTTTTCGGAGGATTTCGGCATGCGCGCGCGACGGCGCGCGCGTGTGCACTTCGTCAATTTGTTTGCAAGGGATTCGAAAAATAGTGTTCTGCTAAATCAAAAAATGCCACCGCATAGTGTTTTTTCCAAGGGAACCTTAGGGGGGGGAACCCGGTTGGCCTGGGACATGGTGATTTCATAATTAGGATTGACGTGGTCAGAATCATGTGTGATTTACATACCCGAAAGGGGTAGCGATAACTCCGGGGGGGGGGGAATCGATTCTCTTTGTAGAAAGGAGAATCTATGCGGGCGGCGACGAGGTGGCGACGGGGTGGCGACGGCGACAAGCCGCCAGACCCGCAGGCTGGGCCCAAACGACTGGCGGCGACGAGGCGGCGCCGGGGCGGCGACGGCCGGCACGGAGTCGCCAGACCGACAAGGCCAAACGACAAACGGCGACGAGGCGCCGACGAGGCGGCAACGACTGGTACTGAGTTGCCGGACCGACACAAAGGCCAAGTTCTGTAGACCAGAAGTAAGAAGCCCGAAGTGCAAGCAAGGTTTGGAGAATTTGGATGCGTGGCTTATTGAGTGAATCTCATGACTTATGGGGCGTGGCGCTCGACTTATCGGGTGTGTCGCGTGAGCATCCCCGAGGTCCGAAATCGTTAAACAAACTGTGTCGTTCACGGTGTTTGGCCCCAAAACGGGGAACGCGACTGGGCCTGTGGAGCCTCACCCCCAAAGATTGCCACAAGACCGCCAACATGCCCTTGAGAGGGCTGCAGACGCACCCCAAAGACTCCCAAGATGCCCCAATGGCCCCCCAATAGGATTCCAGCAGGCATTCGAAAACATCCACAGAAACCCCAAGAGGCATCCGAGAAGACTCTGACCCAGAACCCAGGCACTGTGGCGGAGTGGCCCGAAGGCCGCCAAACACATGGGTGAGCATGTGTATGTGTGTATGTCCGTCTCTCTCTCTCTCTCTCTCGCTTTCTTTGTCTCTCTCTCTCTCTATATGTGTGTGGGTGTGCCGCTCTCTCTCTCTCTCTCAACGCCGTGCCCCGTAAATATGATGTCTCAGAGGTCCGCGTAAATTGAACAATTGACGAAAAAATCCCGCCGATTTTGGTAGCTGGCTGGGTTCTCGGGTTCCCGGTTCCGGGTTTCTGGGTTCCTGGTTTTTGGTTCCGGGCCGATTTCGGTGGGCTCCGGGTTCCCGGGTTCCTGGTCGATCTCCTTATCGATCTCAAACCATCCACTGATTGGGGCTTTGCTTTGGTGTAATTCATACCCGATCGTCTGGCTCGAGTCCATCGTCTCCTGCGCTCTGCCAGCATGTCGTAGTCCAGAACACGGGGCTCTGCAGAGTGAAACTCAAACAGCTCGGCGCCGCGGTCCACGGCACAC